AGCAACCTAAACTTGAAAATTATATTGTAGCAATGTCACCTTATTTAGAAAATATAAGAATCCAGCACAGTATATCCCAGTATTTTAGAATCCATTCATTCATAATAACACATTTGGTGTAATATCAATGAAGAGAAAGCTCCTCTAATAGGGCTGTGAAAATAAAAGGTTCTGGACTGTTGGTGTAGGGAAGAGCAAGCTGGAAGGACAGAATGAACGTAGTTGAAAATTGTTTGACCAGGAAGGGGACAGAAGGAGATTTAGCCAACAGCAACATACATCGGGATTGTGCTTGCGCAGCAATCCCACCAAAACCGAGAAAGAAATGAGGTGAGAAAAGAGTGAGATAGGAAAGAGGCATGGTTAAGTCAAGGTGGGATGCCCAGAAGGGCCTATTCAATCTAATCAGGAGTGCATTAAGCCAATCGATGTACATGCCTGGACACCTGTCACATACTACACACAAAGAAAAGACACTGCTGGACAGCTCAAGGACTCTGCTGAAATTACATTACCATGTGCTGCCTCTCACACAAGCAAACAATGCAATGTGTCACACAATTCACAGTCACACACGTATATATAAATGTGTGGAGGCAAGTCAATGTGCTCATGTGCAGGCGCCATCAACACCACACGCGTGTTAGTACGATTACAGGCTGCAGTACATCCCAGGCTTACAGGTGTGATCCTGTTAGTGTTGTCTCAGCAGTCCAATCAATTACAATTATTGGGAACATATGAATAGGCATGTCAGTCCCAGAACGGATCAATAAGCAGGTGCTCCTCATTATCATCAATTAGCCCCAAGGGCAGCATTTGAGTGTATCTGCCCAGGACGGCCACATGTGCCGAACATCCCACAAGGCACACGGCTGACAAGCATTCACAGCATCTACCGGAGCTGTGAAAATGTTCCCGTGATAGGTCAGACTCGAGTGTTAGTATGAGTGGGACAGAGCTGCTTTTCCTAGTCAAGGCATGTTAGTGGGTCAATCAGAAATTAAGCTTTAGTATTCAGACAGTCAATAGATCCACACCTTCAATCAGAAATCTTTCAGCGCAAAGCCCTTCAGGAAGACAATGGGAAATGGAAGATGTGTGATTTAGCAAAGTCTGCCTCGAGCTACCTGCAGCTAGGTTTTATTGACAGGACACATTAATAGCTGCCTTGATTGACAAGTGAACTCATCAGTGAGTTGAAACAGATGGCAATCACTGGGAGAAGTGAAAAAATAGAGCTGTTAGCCTTTTAAATCTAGGCTTAAGTTCGATCCCTGTTCAGACAATCAATCGTGTGTAGCTGTGGAAAAGAAAAATATGAAACTGCTCCTTTAGTCTTTCTCTGTTTTTGTTTTAACACATCATCCCATCAGCGCTTCTATTTTTCATTAACTTGGTGATAATGGAAATATTTTGTCGCTGCATCACACCATGAGCGGTGTTAGTCTCCAGTAAAATTTCACGTGGGCTGGGAATGATGTGGCTGCATCCCATGCAGTCCTTTTATGATGGTAGATTGTCATTAGTCCTTATCAGTGATCTGCTGTCATCTTTGTCTCCCCCTGCAGAGTTCATGATGATGCTTTCTGCACGATGACCTCTGATGGAAAACGATGGAGCACACAGCGCTGCATTTCTGAGCTGTGAACCCTAAACTCAAGACTGAGGTCTACCTACTTCTATTGCAATCCCTTTTCTGTATATTTTTTTAATGTATTCAATGTATGTTTGATTGTAAAATCATCATCAAGTCAAAAAGATCGCTTTATATTTTCATAATAAAAGTTGAGATGGAATAAGCACAGTGAGTAAAGCGTGAGTTATGAAACACTTGATTGCATGTAACAACAATGCTGCACTGGCGCCCCCCTGTGGCTCAGAAATGTACACAATCATCAGAACTAGATTAGTTTTTTAACCTATTGATTTCCCACCTACTAGTGTTTGAACTTGTATTTCTTATTCAGCTGGTGACTCAGCTGGCCCTGCACATTTGTTTTCTCAATTAGCATCCCACTCTGAGTGATGGAATAGTACGTAAGCAACTGCTTCTGCCAAAGTTAGAATAGTTTTGGTTGTTTAACTTCAGAAATTTCTGCTTTTCTTTGTGTTCTTTTTAACAATTTAAAGTGGGTGAGGTTTGGTTGGAAATAGGTTATATTTTGAATGACATTAATCCAGAACTACCTTTATCAGCATCTGGTGAGTGATCGGAATTTGAATACTCAAATCCAGCAACATCAGAATCAGCACACTCATTACAGATCAAATGTAAGGACATACATTTTACTATATATGATTTACTCTGTTGTTGCATCTTTAGTTAAGCAGATCATTCATATAGAGAGGTACGAAACCTTTAAAGCCATTTTCAACTGTGTGTGTGTGTGGGGTGGGGTGGGGAGGGGGAACAACCTTGACACAAACATTGAAAAAAAGTGCATTTATTATTGAAAATTGATAACTTAAAACATTTGAGCAAAAAAGCAAGATATGCCCAAAAAGCCTTTGTACAAATGGTTTACATACAACTTACATAGAAGTCTTGACATGAGTTTTTTTTCCAAGTCCTTATGGATATTATGGACACATGGTAGCTTAAACTAACTGAGAAAAATAATACAATTAAAACATACTTCATGCGATGGCGGAAAAAAGGGAATGGTAACCAAGCAAACACATTGCGCTAATAAAATCACAATGCAAAATGGTGTAAGGCAAATGCAGTCCCCTGACTGAAGTGCTGCAGGTACCGTCCTCTCTCCTCCAAGCACACAGAGAGCAGCTTTAAATGAAGAACAACACTAACCCATTTGCTGTATACATGCTGTTTTTTCTGGTTTTGATTTGTCATAATATTGCAAGACCCCTTTATATTTTCTAATGCAAACTCAAGGTCAGAATGTACAAACACATTTTTTTTTTTTTGCTTATAAATTAATCCAGTTTTAATTAATTCAATGGGAAGCTGACTTTTTTGGTTTAAAGGAGACACAAGTTATAGGAGAACAGAACCACTGAATCTTTAACACGTTCACTGCAAAATCCCCACACAACGGCAGGGTCTCAGAGGGTCTATGACAGACAAAGCACTTGGAAGATAGGGCTGATGAGCAAAGACAGACTGTGAGCCAACCAGAGAAGAGAAGACAGGGCCGTCACAGGAAGAAGTGTTTGAAGACATAGAAACAAAATGAGATGTCATGGCCACGAGTTCCTCTAAACTCATGCTAGGAGGAAACAAGTGGACAATCTTTGCATGAGAACCAGGAAGAAATTCAGAGTATAAAAAAGATGGGACACCGATCATCTCATTCTCTCAACATGAAGGTCCTTTTTAACTCAGCAGTGGCAGAGATGGAAGTAACTAACAGTAAAGTAACATGAGTAGGAAGAAAACTCGATGCTCAGAAAAGAATACTTTCATCAGTGTTTGGTACACATACACCAGCCTTTAGGTGCACTTGGTTTTGCACTTCTCTGTTCACATGGTTTCTCTAAACCCAACTGAATGACATCTTCAAGCATCTTTTAGTGCCTTTTAAAGGCTGTATAATTAGTGTAATCATTATTATCTTGCTTTCACTTTTTGGACTTTCAGCATTTAGGATTCAGTTTCACAGAATCGCTCCGTTTCTCCTCCATATAAACATAGCATCTTATGGCCAGCGGACAAAACCAGAAAACTCTCTTTTCAATGGTCTCACCAGAGATGATACAAAAATAAAAACAGATTTGACCCTTTTCACCTCAGTCCCATTCGTACTAACCAGAAAATAGTGACACTCAAAAGTGATTGTTAGAGGCACTACTCTCTGCCGTTCTCAATAGTATCAACAAAACGTTAGCAAGTGTAATCGCAACCGCTCTTTGAATTTCTCAACAATCATTCAGGAAGTTCTCATGAAAATTAGATGCATTAAGAACAAGAGCAAGAGAAATAGTGCTATCATGTTTCTCTCTCTTTAAAAAAAAAAACTTTTTTAATGATGATTAACAAAAATTGTTTCACTGCAGGTATCCCTGAGGTGGTTTGGCCATATCTCTGGTTTTAGTGATCCACAGTTCAAGGGTGTTGCTGTTTTGCACTGATCTTATGTAGGTTTTAAAGAAATAACTGTAAATTTGGGGTCTTGTGGCCGTAAGAAGAAAAATAATGGGATCAGCTATTGGTAGAAACAACGTGAGACGTCGATAGAAGTTGCTTCTTAAATGTCACTTCACAGTTCAAAGGATGTTTGTTGTGGGAAGCTCTAGTTGTTGGGGATGCTCTGCAGATATGTGAGGATGTGCTGGATCTTCACCAGGCGTTCTTTGAGGCTGGTCATGGAGAGGACAGAGAGCTGGTACCGAGGGTCAATAGGCAGAACAGCCAGCAGCCACCAGCAGCAGGCTGGACCATTTGCAGTTGCCTGGAAAGGAAGAAAGAAGAGCGTTAACAGCTTTGACCCAAACAAAAATATCTCTTGAAACTTGCATTTTTTTATTCTGTGATTTTCTTTTTTCACTATCTTAGTTAAAAAGTGCCGTCTGAAAGAAAAAATAAAGTGAATGCATAAAAGGAGTAAAGACAACAATACAGCAGGAGACCTAGGACAGCAAAACTGTAAACAGAGGCAGTACAAACTAAATTAGTGCACATAAGAATTTAAAACACAACAAGCTTTAGTAGTCCATCTTCATATCACCTGGATTTATATAATAATAACAATAGTTTTTGTTTTATAGTTGCAATTTTAGAAATATTAAATATATTTCATATTTTCTGGTTCTGAGAAACAGTTTTCCACTTTCTCTAACCCCAACTGTGTCATCACAAGCGATGAAATCAATCTCCCGTATCATAACAAGTTTCTCCCGGCAAAAACTGTGCAACAGTAGTCTGGACCAGCCATCAGCACCTCAACAGCTCCTGTGTAACTGCCATGCAAAGCTTTGTGCCACTATTACTGATCGTGTTACAGAAGCTTCACTGTTTCTCTATCTGCCATCTATAGCTGTGAATTGTCAGAGCTGTAATGAAATCCATTCATCCATGACACCTTTTCAAACCAATCTGCTAATAAAAAATGTACAAATGTAGTTTTTAAAATGCACTTTTATCCAGCATCAAGTTAGCCACAGCACATTCAACATTTATAGAGGTCTCTTGCTGCTTCCAAGTTCTAGCTCTCCAATATTCATTTTTTAATACTTAAGTACTTCCTGTTACATGACTGACAATTAAATGAACACTCAGTCCTACAATACTGGAATGAGTTGAAACATGAATGACCATTTACAGTAATCTGCACAAGGAATTCATGACTGCGTCACAGTTAGGCAGCTGAAAAAAATCCTGTTTTTTTTTTTTTCTTTCAAGTCAGCAAGCCTGAGCCAGTTACAAAATGTGCTTAACACTTTGAAGGATTGGAGGTGGGTGATTACTATGTCTGTGCTACATTTCACTTAAAGACAAGTGCCCTGGCCACTAACCAAAGAAGTTCTGCGTTCCCTTGAAACACAGAAGTTCAGAAATTACATAACAGCTCCAAAAACTGTGGTTGCTGCCGAGCTTTTTTAGTGTGTGCACACGTAGTAGAGTTGGGGATTCTTTTCATGACACTGTTCTGACGCAACAGGGCCAGAGGGATTAGGTATGAAGCCCCCATTAAGCTCTTTAGCCTATATTGTCAATAGACTCTGCCCTGTGGTCGTCCTAAGAACGGAGCTATAATCCCTTTCAGCGCTACAGGCTGCGAGCCAGAGCTACAGCTGAGCACACACAACAACTGCTTTCCGGTATTAAGATCTCAGAGGCAGGTGAATCCATGGCAATGTGTGTTCCCAAAAAGGCAAGTGTGTCATGAGCTGATCCAATTGTACACCAAGCATTTAGCATGTCTAGCATCATCAGTTCAAGTCATAAAAAGCTTTGCAAACCCTGCAGTCTTTTGAAGAAAATTACTGCTTTTGTTGAGTTCAGCATATACCGGTTTTGATAATCATAATAATCAGTCTTCCTGCTGTACAGTATTTTTTACAAATTGATCTCGACAAACTATTATACTGCTTCTCAACTAAGTTTCTATTCTGGGCAGTCAGCACATCAACAGAAGCTTAGGTATTATTTTCGAGTTCACTAATTCTAAATGAGGTCTGCATTGCAGCTCTGCACACTGTTCATAATATACAGTATTAATAATAATGCTATTGCAAGGCCAGTCATTTCAGCCTTTCTATACATCAGCAATTTTTTGTCTGACCATTGCAGTTACTGCAGCTAAATGCAAACAAAAACATTTTTCTAGCTTAACAAACTCAAAGATCAGTGCAAATATATATAGTTGTGTGATTAATGATATTTTGGAATATAAGAAGATATTTATTCTGGGCAGAGGTAGGAAAATCTCTGCAGGTGACTGTATAAATACACTGTGCCCTAGTCGTACCTGAATGTCAGCTTCTCGGTCTGGCATTGGTCCAAAGTGCTGCAGGATCTGGTTGTGGAAGCGGATCTTCAGGTTCTGGAACCAAACTCGGGCCTGCTCATACACGGCATCATGCAGCTCTTGTAGTCTCTCTAGTTCATCGCTGTCCTCCACCTAACAGGCAAGAATCAGTCATTAAATACATGAAGATGCATACACACATACACCCTGAATCTTTTCAGTAATGGTCACTGTGGTTCTTACCCTGCAGTCCTCCAAGTGCTCGATGTCAGCTGTACTGTAACCATCCTTCATTCCTCGAGACAGAACCCGGAAGCGTTTTCCTCCGATCGTGTCCACTACTGAACGTCCATCAGGAAGGAAATGCACACTCCTGATGATCAGCATGCAGCCATAATCTGCAAACCTGCAGGGAGGAATACAGTCGTTTATTTAGACAATGCGGTGATGCCTCATAGGCCTTACATAATGAATTACATTGAACTGATGTCTACGGTGAGACCTAAAAGTCATGACCAGGAAATCCATGAAGACTTTAAGCAACTGCTTTCAAAACTAATGACTGATGTTGCAGAAAGTCATCTATAAAGTAAATAATATAACACCATACTGAGTGCCTGTGCTTGTGTTCTTACCCTTTCTGGGGGTCACTGATGCACATCCCAAACTGCCGCGTGCCCGTGTCCATGCAGCGGCGAATCATGAGGCGGTAACGTGGCTCGAAGACGTGTAGAGGACAAGGCACAGTGGGGTAAGCCATGGTACACACAAAGATAGGCACATTCTTCGTCAGGCTACAGACAAGGAAACAAAGGGAGAAGCCATTAAAATCACTTTGCATCTTTTGCATACAGCAGCATTTGATAACCAAGATTGGAATGAACCAGATGATAAGGCAGCTTACTCGGAAAGCTCTCTGGTCTCCTCCAGATGAGTTTTAGTTCTCTCTGCATACTCCTGACTCAAATACTGTTTGATCAATGTGTCCAGGATAGTTGTCACCATGTACTTCCTACATGCTAGATACTGGAGAGAGCAGAAGATGAATTAACAGTTAAAACAAGAAGCAAGAAACATTTTTATATTTAGTATAATGGTAGCTACAGTAAGTAAGAAGAGTGATACACAGAAATAAGACATGCTACGATTGGTCTCTCACCTCTTTCAGACTCTGTTTACAGAGGGGACACTGGGGTGTGTGGTCTAAGCAGCGTTCCAGGCAGTTTTTACAGAAGGTGTGGCCACATGGTGTCGTCACAGGCTCATAAAACAATCTGTATTTATCAGAGAGATGAAACAATCAGCTGGTTGGACTGGATGCCAGAAGTCTGGCTATGAATCACATTTCCATGGACTGATTTGAGTAGGAGGTAAACGTGTACATGCAGCACACTAGTGCATTCTTACCTCATGCAGAGAGAACACTCCAAGTCATTGGGGTCCAGCAGATCTTTAGGAACACTTCTGCAGGTTTTAGATTTGGCGTTTTGTTGTTTGGAGCCTTTTGCCACACCTTTGGTCAGCCATAGAGAACAAAGTATTTTAAAAATTAAAATGAAAAATAGTAAGAAGAACAGAAAGTAGTGCAGCTAGTTGTTTTTCTCACCTTGTTTTTTATGCTTGCTACTTCCACTGGAAACAACACAAGGTTCAGTGTCTGACACGGACAGCTTCCTCTTCAGTAAACTCCCCTTCTCCTGGTCCCCTAGTTGAGGAGCAGAGCAAACTCTCTTAAGCCCCTCCTCACCACAGCTAGAGCCGTGCACTCGTAGCGAAAGAGCTCGGCTCAGACCGGGACGCTCCAGACTCTCCCAGCGTTTCTGAATAGTGACAAAAGACTTGGGGTGAGAAGATGATGGTGGCAACTGCAGTGGATCTGTACACTAATAAACTCTGATTTCAGTATCATTATTCAATGTGCTTGTACCTCCTGGTTTTCCAGATAGTGTGCGGAGAGAGCACGGACCTGGTGTTGTCTTTGGACCGGGCTCTGCGGTTCAACTTGTGCATCTGTCTCAAGGGTTTTACTGCGCAAGTGAGGCAATGTGTTGTGCGTTGTTTCTCTCAGGCCCACCTTGACATTCTCATCAGCTGGAGAGAGCAGGTCACACAAGATCTGTAAAAAGAGAGTTAAGAGTTAATGCAGTCCTGACAGACTAGGAAACCTGATTTTCACATGTGTTAAATAGATTTAAGAGTTAGTTCGTGTCAATGTGCATGTTCGTGTCCCATATTTGAAGTATAAATCGTCTGCACTTGTATAACGCTTTTCTCCCTTAGTGGTACTCAAAGCGCTTTACAATGTGTTTCTCATTCACCCATTCACACACACATTCATACACCAATGGCGACAGAGCTGCCATGCAAGGTGCTGCCTGCCATTGGGAGCAACTTTGGGTTCAGTGTCTTGCCCAAGGACACTTCGACTGTGGAGGGGCCGGGGATCGAACCGCCAACTTTGCGACTAGAGGACAACCGCTCTACCACCTGAGCCACAGCCTCCTATTTATATTCATAAATCATAGCCAAAGAGTCTTGTTGGAACATAAGATTCAATCTCAACACCAGACACACACATCCAGTAAACCTGATGTACAGACAACACCCACAGTTACCAATGTCAGCAGTAATGTTAAGCCAGTAATATCTGCCTGGGCAAAAGTTGTTACAAGTCTTTACATTTGAGTGGCAAAAATCTGCCCTTTTAAATGTCTGTACGATGCTACATGTGGCAATAAATGCAATGCAGAAACTCAAGGCTTAAAACACAGTTTCTAGTGAGAGAAAAATACTATATTTGTTCTCTCTACACAATGGGGTTATTGACAAAAGATTTAACTACAGAATGCTGTAGTTTGTTCACAGATTTGTCTTGTGCTATGTTCAGAATAGATATTTCTTAGTTTGAACCCAGCAGCAGAAAATATTGACATTTTTTCCTGGGGTTTCAGTTAAAAGCATAAGAGACAACAAGTTCAGTGATTAAACTATTTAGGATAATTATTATGATTATTGCAGTGTTTTTATTTCTATCTATTTCCTATTTCAACTCAGTGTAGCCATATTCTAAGCATCATTTCAATGCTGTGACATTTCTTCGTGAGGACCACTAGGACAGAGGCTGTCATTGTTCTTTTCATTAATTTGCTGTTTTCACGGCTTTGGTATTGACGAAGCTGTTGAGACGCTAAGTGAGATTACAGGCTGCACAAACTTGATTTGACGGTCTACTGATGCACGCTGTCTGGCTCCCACACTGTTGAAGATTGATGTCTAGTCTTAGTGGCTCTTTCCAGATGGAAAGGATAAGGAATTTAGATAAGATGCCAACACATTCAGCATCCGCGAACAACAAGTCTAATCAATTCTGCACACTTTTAACCATGTGAAAACCTTATAGACAGATGATTCAGAGACAACTGTGGACATTTTTATGATTTACAAGTAAATATAAAACAGTTTCATCAGATAACGGAAATGATTTTTTTTCCCCAGACAATTTATGTAGTACTACATGTATGAATCATTTGAGTGTCACTTGCATAACTGCAGTGTTGCATTCTGTCTGTGAAGGGGTACTAATGTCATTACAGGCTGGGTCACAAGACCTGACCCACAAACAACTTATGTAATTCCCTGACAGACGACCCAACACAGACAGAAAGAATGGACAATATTTATGGCTGAGAATTTGTAAGTGCAAATTACAAATTCTGATATATTTTCCTGAAAGTCCCTCTGAAGTTATCGATTTTGCCTTATAAAACTCATCTTGGTATTATAAAGTTATATATTTGTAAGTTTTTTCCATGAACACAATTCTTCCGATCCTGAAACAGCTTAAAGTTGCAATGGTTTTAAAACTAGTGTTACAACAGATTAACCCCTTAAGTCCTAGAGTATTTTTTCAATTTCCACTTAAAAACATTCCTGAATTCAGTCCATAAAAGCTGCACCACTGCAAGGCAAAAATTAACAAACTCAGCCTCTACCAATAAGAGACTCTTGAGAAGAAAATCTAAGAATTCAAGTCTTCTTGTCCCCATCACTGGGCAAGAATGAGATTTGAAAAACCACTGCAAAACATTTCAATTCTTTACTTCTGTGGAATCAAAACTGTATGTTAGACTTGAAAGAAAACAATGAGTTACTAAACACTGATGATACTGAAACTGTAGCCAAAATCTGATAAAGCACAAATAAAGCACAACAAGTGCTGCATCCATTTTAATCATACTAGTGCTAGACGCCATATTTACTGAATGGGCCAAGAGTAGACACAGCCTGGTCCCAGTACAGCAACCTACAGGATTAAGGGGGTTCATTTAGCAAACATTTTATTTAGTTTTGTCAGTAAACTTTATAGAGTGACCAATATCATCATATTTAACCAAAACATAAAACAATAAGTCTTTTGCACATCCACTGTGTCAAAAATCTAACTTAATGAATTATTCAGTTCTGCCATTTGTATGTTTCTCTCAAGCAGCTATTTGACCGACTAAACATTTCTTATTTTGCCTTTTTTCCAATTTAAAAAGATCAACATAAATGACCAACATATTACAGCAGTTTAGATCCTTTTAAAACCACAGCACGACAAGTGGTCATTTCATAAGGATGCTTATAAAACACGGCAAATCTACCATGTTTCTTGGTAAATGGTATATTTCGTAATTCATCTTAAATAAGCTTTTAACATCCATGCAATGACAAAAGACCAATATAGTGCAACAGCAGATGCTAGATGTAAATACAGAAGAAATGGCTTTGTGCAATAACAAATAATGGAACAAGTTTTCCCAGCTATGCAGTCAAAGAAGTGGGACACTCATGTGCCCTGACTCATAGAAGCAATTGTGTAACAGTAAGAATTCCACTTTCCCTTGTTAGCATTAAGGCAAGCTCCTAACAGCCGTCTTGCATAAACACTATGTGACCTCAACTGACCACTTGCAGGATGACGGCAGAGTCTCCTGTTTCTTCTTTCACACTGCCAGCACACTAATCCTAACTCACTCACCTTTTCCACTTGTCTTTTAGCACAGGGGAAATCCTCATCAACAGCCAGGCAGTGGAGGAAGACTTGGAGAGACTCATCCACTTGACCCATTTCATGAAGAACCATAGCTTTCCTATACAAAGCCTGAAAGGACAAAAAGAAGAAACAGATGTTTTACCTCTATATCAGCATTAACGTTTATACTGGGTATTAACTTTTATGGGTTATCATTTTACCTACTGTTGATAGTAAGTGCTGTTGTTTTTATATCTTTAAAAAAAGGCTTTAAAATCATACTGAATGAACAGCCAGACAAAACTGATAATAAACATATATGTCATTAACAATTCAGCAATAATCTACATTACACAACAAATGAACATAATATTCTAGGCTTTGACAGACATTTGGCCTCCTGTTTGTGATGCAATAGTCTTTAATGGATTTGACCTTAATCACTGCATTCTACGTTACAGCCTAGAAAACCATCATTAGTCATGACACTCTTTTGTAACATATTTACTCTAAGAGAAGCACTTTTATTCAGCACTAAAAATAGAAGGTTATTAGACATAGACATAGATATAGACATAACTTTAAACAAATAGAATGAACACAAAGATTTTTTTTGCTCGTGAATTTGGGGTTCCCAAGTCATGAATTCAAATCAACTTCAAAACTGTTTGGTTCAATAACAAAGTGAAAGACTAAAGAAATCCGGCATTAACAAACTGGCCTACAATTTATAGGCCATTAACTTGTAACTACAATCAACTAACACAAAAAATGCGGTACTCCTCTTCTGTGGCTTTGAAGGCAGCGTTCTTAAAATACACCCTTTTTTTCAGTAGAGGTCGGCTGACCAATATATTAGAACAGACTGAGTGACAGACTGGACACATACCAGACTCTAGTAAGTGAAAGGCTGTTGTGTGAACATACGTACACAACCTGGCAATGTTGCCAATAAGTTGTCTGGCACTCAGTTTGGCGTAATCACAGCAGAAATGTTCAATAGTATCTTGAATTTATGTAACATTTGTTCTTTTTAATGTTTATTGGTGGTTTTAATCCTGGTTCAATCATGTAAAGCCTTGTGCAACCTGAAACTGTCGTAAAAATGCAGTTTATTGATAATATTTATTAACTTTGTTTTGTTTCTATTATTAATACAAAATAAAAAATAACTCTAGCATGAGTGAGTGACCTACTTCAGCAAAACAGCTGGACCTGGGACAGAATTCTGTGTCCTCCAAAGCCAGACGATACTGTTTCAGAGCCATGTATGCCTCTGCTCGAGACAGTCGCGCCACCACTGTCCTATCTGGATCTGCAAGGGACATGAGGAAACGGAGAGGGAAAAACGTCATTATTAGCTAAAGGAAATAGTGTGTGTGTGTGTGTGTGTGTGTGTGTGTGTACATATATAAAAGCACAACTTTCAAATCATTCAGTTGTTGGCTAATTACAAACACAGCATAAGTAATACTATAATAATCATACAGATATGAAATTGTCTATAATGTACTGGGTAAACCTATAAGTTTTTCTAGTTATACAGGTAGGCAGCGTTTACCGCAACGTAAAGTATTTACTGCAAGTCATACATTATGTAATACCATTATAGATTAACTGTGTCGATGAACTCTCTGTAACTCTGCAAAAAATATGAAGTTTGAAAGACCAACAAATGATCATGGTTTTAGATTTCTTTTCCTAATAGTAGTTTGGATTGAAAAGAAGAAGCTTGAAGCCTTGTAGAGGCAGCCGTATTATGTTACATCTAGAAAAACACTTTAACAAATGACTAAATTGTCTACAAATATAGAAATGATGATAAACCATACATTTTGTGGGATGTAGGCTGTGTTAAAACAAGACATCAGTCAGTCATCCAGTTACCAAACTATAGCAATCTGTTGTGAGTTGATCCAAGTCCTTTGAAGCAAACTGTCCTGCAGACTGACAACTAATAAATTCTGTCAGTAAATTAGGTTGACCCACATTCCATCAAAAGTTCAATCAGTTTAAATTTCTTCACGGATTGGGCTGGTATAGTTCAGTACAGTGCATCCTATCAATCCCAGTAATACATTATCTTTCATTGAGACAATTTAGGGTTTAGCTCACTTTTCTGATTTATGCCATATGCTAACGTGAACAGGGCTACTGATAGTTTGTCTAGTTAGCATAGCATCAGCGAAGCATCCATAAATATCTGGAACTCTGTGTTCTGCTTCTCGAGTCATCTGCAGCTCTGTGGGCCACCACTGGCAAAAGCTGATAGCATGACTGCATCACTCCTACATTGGTATCTGTTTGTGTTCTCAACTCAATGTCAAGTGACAGCCTTTCTTGTCAGAAGCTGAGATACTAGTTATAGTCATGTGGCCTTTAATAAGGCCAGCACTCAGAGTTAAATAACACAAGTCCAAAAAATATTAATTTTACCACCAAACGTACTATGAACACCGGCATTTTATAATCCTAATGTTTTCAGGTCAGAGTCATTGAAGTTCTTCTAACACAATGATTTGACTGGTAATGTCTGAGTTACAGAGGTCAACGGGGATGCAGAGGGTTACATGGGACATTATGTCACTTGAAGGTCCAGAACTATTTTCCAGACTACTAAGCCATTTCAAGGCACAAGGCACATTCATATCTGAACTGGAATGACATAAAATAAGTGACTAAAAGGCAAACACCATGGTTCTTTCCTAGTTGATTGAAGGTTTTTAGGATTTACTGGTAATTAAATAAACCAAAGCCCTACTCTTCTTGCAGGGCAGTGCAATACCCATAATGCACCATGCCATTTCAATGTGTATTTTTAAATTCTACTTCCATGAAGGCAGCCACATGATAGCAGCAATACTCTTGTCCTTTTCAAAGATCAGTTGCTCAGTGTACATGCATTCAGTTTCCAACTCCACTGGAGCATCCGTGGGTTCCTCAAGGACTTTTCTGATGGTCAAAGAGAGCATTACTCATCTCACTTCACCCACACTGGGTTTTCCTGTCAGTATTTGTTTCTGCACCTGCAAAGCTTACAGCTAGGCAGAAGCACCCTACTTTAATTTCTCCCATTGCATAACGTTACAACAGCTAACTTGCTAGCTTGCTTGACTGTCTATCTGCACCACCAGCCTTCCTTGCCCCCTTAAACTGACCCACAAGTTGTCTCCTCATTCCATTTTAAAACATTTATGAAACAGTGGTTCGTAACAGCCATAACAATTACAAAATACGACTAGCCCCCTCCACCACCCCCCGAGATAAGTTACAAAACCTGGCCCTGTGTGTGTCACGACCTGCCTTATGTAACCTGCATGGAGCGCGCATGCTCAGATCGTGAAATTTCGTAAGCAGGACCCACCAAGGGCAGCCAATGGGAGGGGACAAATTTCAGTACAACGGGTTAATGATGGTGGCTTTCAAAAAATGTTGGTCAGTAGAACTCACCCTAGTTTTGCCCTTTTGGTGCACTGACAACGCATGCTGTAACAGTGTCATGCTACTGTGTGTTTCTATGATTTCTACACGGTGTCGGTTAAGTAACGTCTCTAATAACACATCGTGTTCCTGCCTGCTCAGTGAGGGTGCGCAGCAGACACACCTCTGCCGACAACATGGATGTACATCTGTGTTAACAACACTCACCTGACCGAATAACATCGCTCGCTAGTGACACAGCCTCCTGGTAGCGTTTTCTTCTACACAGCGAGTCCACCTCGCTTAACGTCTTTGACTGTTTCAGCTCGTCCGGGAACCATTTGTCTAAAAGTCCGCACAGAATAACACTCGCCTTCTCCTCGCCCCTCACGGGTTCACTGCATAGCCTGCACTTGGAGAACAGCCGCCGATGGTAACACCGTTTACAATACGAGTGTCCGCAGGCTATGGTCACAGGTTCACCCAGGAAGCTATTGCAGTTTGGACAGTCAAACACGTCCTCCCCGGAGCTGTCCTCCGCGTCCCGGCTCCGGCCCGACACCGACTCGGGCCCAGCCGCTTTCCACTTAAAGTTGCGGAGGATACAGTCAACAAAAGTGCTTAGTTGTTCCGGTCGTACAGGAGAATACCGCATAGCCACCGAAAACCAGTCAATGGCTTCTTTGAGGCAGTTTTCCGATGCTAACGCGTTGGCTTTCTGTAGTATAAGTTGATGGTGGTCCTCCTCTTCAGAGACATTGTCCCAGTCAGCGCCGATGAAGAAGGCGCTTCTCTCCTCCGGGGCGTCCTCCACTTGCGGCTGGAGCGACATTGTAGCGTCAAAATAAAAAGGAAAATTAAAAATGTTATGAATCTTTCGGTTTTCGTCTGTTCGCGTGTCTATACATTTCTATAGCTGCCGCGGTCCCTCACCGTATAGTGAACGGACTTTCCCATAGATACCCGTTTGTTACATAAAAAAGACACGGTCACGTGATCGGTGGAGTCAGGCCGTGATTGGTCAGAAGCTGCCGGTTACAAAACCTGCGCCTCAAAGTTTCATAACTACGGAAGAGACGCAGTGAAGTTGACTGACTGTGCCAGATTTCAGCGCTGCCGTTTGAACTTGTGATGCCCTAGAATCTGCGCACACTTTATAACGCTGCTCAGTACAACAAATCCTAGTCTCTTATACGACTAGTTTTTTTTCAACACGTTTAGAAATAACTTGGCGTTTTTGAAAGATGTTCGGAAACTTACCGGGAAATCCCATTTGTAAGTGCTTGTGTAACACGATTTTGTAACACCACCCCATGTTTAAATTTTATATAATTTATTTCATCTCCCCTAACAGTTTTTTTTTATTCCCGCTTTCTATCAGCTGCTTTCTTCTTCATAAAACAGTTTCTAGTTGGCTTTTGCATAACATGCACAAATAAAAGTAGGCTTTATGTGACTTGTGACAATTGTTTTGCATAAACTTGCATAATATTAAACCCTTAAGTAACAACTTTGCATGCAGTTTCATTTTGAATTCTTTAATTTTGTGCTCAAGCTGTATAACTCATGAAGAAATATGGGGCAGATGCCATTCTCACCTAAAGAAAAAAGGAGCACTGGTGGGCCTCCCATGGGTCAGTGATGACCTGGTATTTGTGACTCATCAGAGCCAACTCTGTTTATATTTATCCAGCAGCATTGTGGTGATCACACATGTATATTATGAATACATACATATGTGTGCACATCAGTTGCTTTATTATTCGTTTAGAACTAAGATCCTGCACTTTATGCACGAATATATACCTGCACTTTAAAGGTGCAAAACAGACGTTCAGGTATTTTACTTTTAGTGCCTATTTTTTGCCTCATGGCATAAAGAGAGTCCACCTTTTCAAACCTGCTGTTGCTTGACACAAGAGTTGCTCTCTGCAAATGTCACAACATGTTGCCCTGACTGTCGTCTCCCGAAGCCTTTAGTAGCACGTCAAATAGAAAGAACATTTCAAAAGCAAATGACATTACAAGATCACATGCCTGAGGTCATAATTTATTTAGACTTTTTTAATGAATGGATTCATCACTGTATTAGATGGCAATAATGATACTATATTAGCCATTAAACAGGACAGCCTTCTGTCCTCTTGCCACTAATTTGAACATTTTCAGCAGTTCTGGTCTAAGGGATGCACATGATGTACTGTGTGTCACATTTTGTTTGGACAATTTCAGGATTATTACCAGTGGAGAATAAGCATGTACAATAATTGCAACAGTGCCAATGTGAACAAATCACCACAAATAAATAACTAAATCAGCAAAATAACTTTATACAACATCAAAACTTTTTTTTTTTCTGTTAATATCATGTTTCTAAACTTATGCATACATAATACAGTTGGGCCTTAATGAATGTCCAGGTTGAGGCTTTGGGAGCTGCAGAGTTTTATGCAAATGGTCGTTTGCTGTGTTGGACGCAGTGAATGTAAGCTGGTCATATTGTGTATAATATTGTCCTGTGAACTGAAAATATTGCATAGTTCAATTCAGTTTGATTTGTAGAGTTTATTTGTATAGTAAATTGTATTTGAGAACTGTCAGATTGGTTGATATAGTGATAATAATATTAAAGGTAGTTATAAATGTGTTAATAATAAAGATCAGAAGGCATCTGAGCCAATAACCTTTATCAGTAAGGGAGATTTGAAGCTTAATCTTAAAAGTAAAGGTCCTTGCCTCCTAAACCTAAACTTGGAGCTGGTTTCACAGGAGCCTGACTCTTTCATTTTTGGAAACTATAGGAACCCCATGTAAGCCTGTTTTGTCAAAGTGTTTCTAACACAATGGAGTCAGTTCATTTCCGTAATGTAACAGTTTGGACAAACTTTGGAGATAATTTCCATAATGTAGTCGAGTTAGAATGAGTTCCAACAGGATGTGAACCTGATGGAGATTAGGATATCGTGGGGGGAGACTGACACCTAGTGGTCAAATGACGTCATTACATTAGTGGAAACGCGCAAAGGGGATTTTAAAAATATATGAAATGCTCCACGAGGAAGAATGGTGAAAAAAAAAAGATCAAAATGAAATAGATGTAGTGAATATAGTGACAATATGGCTGCTCAATTCTGTTTTCATACTAACCAAAATGTGGGTTTTTTTTAAAAAACAACAAACAAACAAACAAACAAAAAAACTAATTTTCATGCAGATGTTACCAAAAGTTTAAAACTTAAGAGGAGACCCAGAGATCATATAAACGTATGACCTTGGTTTTCATCACTCATATATTTGTTTTATTAAGTTTTTGCTTTTAACCCAGTAGCTTTTTTAAGAACCTTCAGCTTTAACTTGGGTTTAAAACAAAGATGTGAGCTGTAAAATGCAATTCAGTATATATTTTGCATGGGTGATATGATTTGGTGCATATTATGTTGAACTTATGTGTCTACACTCAGGCTAAACAGGAGCAGAGTAGTCTGTGTCTGCAGTAGAGGAGGCTGCATTTCTAGACAGTGCCATCTACTAAAATAGAGTCGTCAGAGAGTAGATTTCATTTCAAAGCATTTCTGGCCAAGATGGATAACAACTGCAGTGTAAATACAGAAAGTTTAATTTTGTTAACATTAAAAAAGTTTTGATGTCTTCAATTAGACAAGAGAGTTATCAACAGCTTGCAAAAAAGGATCGCATCTTGCCTCTCCCCAACCTTTCAAATATCTGTTATAGATCTTGTGACAACATAACATATAATTAAATTATTTTACCTGATAAGGAGCCAATTGTGCAAATTACACAATTTGCTCAATGTGCAACTGTGAGCAACCAAGTTAAATTGCAGGACAGAAACTAGTGTCTGGGTGGAATAAACCTTTAAAACTATGTGTTCTAAGCACTTTAGGTATCACCCTGTTCAGTAGGTGGAGTTGTTGTGAACAGCAAGGGACCTAGAAGTGTGGTCCTACAACCACATTAGTAAATCTGCAGACTCCTGCACTGCAGACACATCATATTAAAACAAATATATTATATACAGTCTGTAGAGGGCAGTGTTGAACTGTGTAACAGACATAAGTTGACTGCCAGCCAGCTCAGTGGTGCCCTAATGTTTGGATTGAGACACTTCAACCAGAGAACAGGTGGATGTGTTCCAAGCCTCTAGCTCCTGTGTGTCATACAGGTTGATCAAGAAATATCTGAAGGATGGAGGAAAAGGTTGCCAAACGTGCTCAGCTCAGAATGTTAAAGATCTTCAAACTGGGGGAAAACAAATGCATGCAAAGTCCAAAATACCTGGAGACATAAAGAATCTTTTCAGTCATTAAGCTTAGTCATGGAAGATTTTTATTCTTATTCATCTGCTTCAGTAAGTGTTCATGCTGCTTGTGTCTCTGTTGATAATGTAGTATGAGCTTCATTGTTGCAGAACTGTTGTTTCTGTTACTGTTGTAGCATATCTTTCTTTCTCGTTCCCTCTCTGTCGCACACATGCACACACACACGTGACCATACTTCCAGCCATATCAGGACTGTGACACTATCTCAGTGTGTGTTGGATCAGACTCTGCCACATGTGCCAAGTGACTCCGTCATTACTGTGGAAGTTGCATGTCATTGTGTGTGTACGTGTTTGCATAAGTGTCAGTGTAGGTTCATGCACTAATGCACAACATCTTAATTTTTTTGAGGACAAACAGGCAGATCTGTTTTTCTCTGCTCAAAAACATCCCTTCTTACCTTTGGAATTTCTGAAATATTGAGATATGTTGAGGAACGATGAGGTCAGCTGGACTGTAGAAACACTATGTGACTAAACGCTCATTCTTTTCCATGTTGACTCTTAAAATATGGCCTTATCTCGATGACATACCACTTCTGTTGCCACAACAGTGCTGCAAGTGATCCATCAGAACATTCCAGTTCACATGGAGACATGTGACCCACGGTTCCTCTCTGATATTTGTCATGTCTGTGGGATTTCTATTCACTAATTATGTCGGTAATGAAGCTGGGAGAGAAACTACAGGTTTAGCTGCACAATGTGATGCAATAAATACATCTGCAATAAGCAGGTTCGTCTGCATAGTGCTGACTGTTTTGTGAATATGGCACTTGTCAAAGATGCAGTGAAGACAAATGAATAGATCCAAGTACATGCAGTGACTTTGATGGTTTGTGTAGTTAGATAATTATATTGTCCCTCAGTCTGCTGTCAATCCTGCGACAACATTTCTGTCATCTATCTGCTAGACAAGAACCGTCCGTCCTGATCCTATCTGTTTAAGAAATGAAATAAACATGGATATCTCCCCTTATTACATAATTAGCTAAGAAACACCTGGAGGGAATTTATTACATCTGGCACAAACATCCACTTGGGCTCAGAGATGAACCGATTAGAATTTGGTGGTCAAAGGTCACAGTGACCTCACAAAACAGGTTTTTGGCTGTAACTCAAGAATTCATGAGCTGATTATAATAAATTTCACACAAAAGTGTAATAGGATAAAACAATAAAGGGATTGTGTTTTATCCAAAAAGCTAAAAGTCCCCTTGACATCATAATGTTCTGCAAGAACTTTTCTGGCCATTATGGAACGCCACAGCTCAGAACCGGAGTGGGATTGCGACCAAATTTAACATTTGGTCTGACACAGACTGGTGACAGTAATCTTGGATTCCCACATGTCTTTTGAGCTGCAGGATTGAAGATTTGTGTGCAACATCTAAGGTTTAAAATTTGAAGTGTCTTTTGAGCAACATCCATATTCATGGCATTGTCTACGGTCATTGCTACCATTTTATGTTCTGTCTATAGAATGGAGTTTATTGGCCAAACGTGAACACATATAAGGAATTCGACTGGTTTTTGTTCCTCTGTTTAAACTTACATGCTTCATAGTGTCTACTACATGCATGAGTCTGGACAGACATGGATGTAAACTACAACTCAGCTGGCTGGCAGAGATGTGAGGTGGTAATTCTAGCTGATTAATTCTTGACAATCTGGAGGAACAACACACACACTGGAGAATGCACACTTTTATATTCATTTATCAA